TCTCTAGTGAATCCTCTCACCCTCCGCATCTCTGGCCTGTACCCCAGTTCTGTATGAATAAATAAATAAATCTTTAAAAAAAAAAAGATTCCAAAAAAAATTGAAAAAAAAACCCCACATAAATATATATTTATATATGTGTGTATTTACATATACACACATATACATATGTTTACACACACACACACAGTAATACTGACCAAAGCAGAAATTAATATCCACAAAATTTATCCAACCTACCCATTTTTACCTTTGAAATATCTAGTGGGGAAACATATGTAGGTTACCACTGGAAAATTCATTGTTTTCAGGACTGCATTTTTCATTATTAGGGAAAAATGATTTGAAAATGCTTTTATAGAGTTAAGAACAGTTTTATTCTGTTTTCCTTTTTTTTTTTTATCTGGAGCAAAAAGAGGAATAAAGAGGAATAAAGAGGAATCATTTGAAACTACATTTAATTTAGGAAATAGGAAAGCATCTTGTTGAACCTAATTTTGGATACTTCTGTCACAGCTGAAATACCAGTTCAGTGCTGAAGTGTCAACTTAATATGATCAAGTATCAATGTTACCTGGCAGATACAACAGTTACTTTATTACTGTGTGACTCCTGAAGCATATTTATAGTTTTAAGTGGAAGCATTATTATTTCACTGTTAAATGCATACACAAACACAGTCACCCATTTTGCTTCTGTCAGAGTAAACCTTTAGTACCCAGGCAGTCACAGACCACCCTCTAGATGAGGATACAAAAGGATGGCATGATCATGCGAAGAAGACTGGATTGTTATCCAATTTTAAGTTTCAATAATCACAATGAAGGGTGATAGTTTTCCTTTCCAAGGCTGTCAACTCCATCTATAATCAAGATAATTTGGCAACAAAATGATCCTGTCGCCCACTCTGAGGAGCTGATGGGTAAAGGTACTTCCCTACTCTGACCTGCTACAAAATCTGACCTAGTCTCTGTCCTGCGCCTAAATTACTTCCATTGCAGTCCGCGTCTCTGGATAGATTCATGCGCTCTCTCAGCTATAAATGCCAACTATGGTTATCCAGAGAGGAGATCTGAATTAGAAGTACAAAGAAAGAAAAATACTATGAAGCTCGTTAATATGCTCTATGAGGGCTTTGCTGCAATTTCAATTTGTTTTCTTTATTAGAATAAACTTTATATTTTCTACTAAAGCCATTTATAAAAAAATTTAATTCTTAATCACAATGGAAGGACTCAAGAATTCCTGAGGCTACAAAACTGATATTTTTCTCTCGAATACTCTGATTTCTCTTCAGATCGTATAAATCTTCCACCGTTTACTATAATATTTCTTTCACTGGAAAGTGAACAAGTTCTTAGAACAGCCTAAATTCATTTGCAGAAACCTGAAAAGACACCTGCTAGCGAAATTGTTGGGTCACATGACACAACTATCTTTAGTATTTTGAGGCATCATAGAATTAAATCATAGGCAAATCAGCTTTTGATAAAGTCAAAACTGAAGTTTGAAAGAATAATCTTGTTAAATAGAAACTGAACAGTGTTTGTCTTCTTGGAAAGAAACTGTAAATGGAAGCATTTTTTTTTTTTTGTCTGCCCATTTGTAACTTGAATTTGAACCTTGAGGATCTATCACTTCATTGAAATTAAAATGAAAATAATCAAACAGAAACATACTGAGTCACAAAATACTGTGCTTGTTAAATGCCTCAAATAGTGTTTCCTTCTTCCTGCGGAGTCAGGAAGTTGGGGACAAGAAAGGGAAATTCCACCACCGAGGACTCAGCCAGCAGGCACACCAAGCTGGTAAGATTGGGCAGGTCCAGCAGGCACGCAGGTTTTTGCTATAATGATGTTTACCAGAGCCTATTAGCTGGAAAAAATAAAAAGAGATAACTATCATGGGCTAGTCGTCTCTTCTCACCACCTGATCATCGTTCAATTTTTGTCTTTACACATCTGCCCTGTCAGTTTTGTCAAAGTCCTAGAAGGCAGATTCAAGGAGGGAGATGCTGGAATCCTGAACTGGAAGAAAGAATTGAAGAAGAAATGTGCATAGTTATTACAGAAATCCCCACACAAACACCTGGGAGAAATAAAATGAGACAGAGAGAGCAAGCCTACAGCTTCAGGGAAGCTCTCTCTCTTTCCAAGACTGACTGCTGCTCCCTGCAGTGTGCTTGCAAGTTTCATGCTTCTGAAGGAACTCTGCTGCTGCTCTGTTATTGCTATTGCATGAAATCCTCCTCTTGTAAGACTCCCAGAATCCTTTGGTGTCATGGCCCCCAATTAATTACATGCAAGACTTCTAATATTCAAGACTTCATTCATCTTCATGATATTCCTATGAGACATTTTCAGTCTCATTTCTTGTAAGATAAAAGTGAAAATTAATGGGTTAAATAATTTGTCTATGGCTTTACTAAGCAAGAATTTATGAGCAGGTGTGTTTGACTTCAAATTCCATGTTTAAGCCATAGTTGTACTGTTGTGACTAACGCCCGCTTATGGAGTTGGTTTAATACTCATGTAGTTTATTCACTTAATGCCTACAGCCACTCTAGTGTGCAGACGCTTTCCAAGATGGCCACAACACTCGCTCAGCAACACTCAACATTAGATATGCTCCTTTGTGCTGCTTTACAGAATTTACTTTAGAAAACTGGTAATTATTTTCTCTGCTCCTCAAGGTATAAACATTTTTCAAAGTCTATTGTTTGTTTTCATACCTTGTCTTTGCCAAGGACCTCTTAAATAAAATAAAAAGCAACGTGCAGGTTTAGCATAGCGCTGTTTCTTATAGCTCACTTATGGAAACAGACTAAGTTGCCCACAATAGATGAGTGGATCGAGAAGACATGGTCTATATACACAATACGATATGAATTTTGGTCAAAAAGATAAACTCATGGTTGAAGGCAGAGGAGATAACGCTAAGCGAAACAAGTCAGAAAGAAAAACATCAGATAGTGTCACTCATATGTGGAATATAAAGTAACTAAACTGAGAGTGAGAGGAAAAAACTAAGCCCTGAGGGCTGACTACAGAGCTCAAGCTCCGAGGTGGGCAGAGGGTGTCTGTAAAGAACAAAGGGGAGGAAGCCCATGGATGATGGCGGCAGGCGATGGTGCTGCTGTGCCAGGTCACTATGCGACAATACCTGAGGCACTGTCCCAATATTACCTCAAATTAAAAAGTTAATTACAGTGTAATAATGAAGAACTGAACACTCCTAGAACCCAGTCTTTGTGGGAAGGCATGAGCCTATCCTCAGCTTTGTTTTAAGTTGCAAAACTATATGCTGTCACAAAGGTATTAAGAAGACCTTCTTTTTCTTTCTTTCTTTTTTTTAAAAGATTCATTTATTTATGCATACAGAACCGGGGTACAGGCCAGAGGTTCAGGGTGGTGAGAGGATTCACCAGAGAGAGCAGGGAGCAGAACAGGCAGCTAGATGAAGTACACTGCTGAGGGGAGCAGCGGGCGGGTCAGGAGAGGTCTGCCG